TATATTAACTAATCACTATTATATTATATGTAGGCCTATGGATATCTTAATAATAATAAAGGATTTATGTATATATATATGTGTATATAATATATATATACTTATTTTATGTATATACAGTACTTATAATATTCATAAAACAGACATGATTATTAACACACACACGAATCTGACAACCTGTCACTGTACTGTATAGTATTGCTGTTTCAAGTGTACCCTATGCATTGTTACTCACATTATCATATAATCATTAGACAAGTTGATTTCAACCACATATAGAAATATCTGTTTTCATATTTTAAATAATCCAGAGGGTATAGTTGAGTTCCCAGGGTTTTAAATGGTTCAGTGACGAAACGTCATAAGTGGTGCAGTGTAACCATGTTGTAACTAACCAGTTTCATAATTACATTGTATCAAGTGACTACTGAAAGTCACATGTATGGTGATTAATATGCACTTGAGGTCTGATCACGTGAATCTATGAATGCGTACATACCGGTACGCGATGCGTTACCACGATCCATACTTTAGTTCATGGTGTCTCGTGGGGCACGTAACGACGAGACTTCCAATCCTTGGGGGAAACCGTGTAATATACAAAGTATATTTCTAACCATGAAAAGGGAGCACAAAGTTTGCAGCGTTAGTTATTCAGAAATTGCGTTATACATAAATACCGTTCGAATAAAAGCCCCGCTCTGAAAGGTCCCCTTCAAAATAAACTCCCCTTTCAGAATCTCATTTGGAATAAACGCCTCCCTAGAATATACGGCCCGGATCGTTTGTTTTTCCACCGAATAAGCACCCCCCCCCCCCCCCCCTTAGATGATTGTAAACAAAACTAATGGAAGCAACATCATTCCCAACACATTCTATTAATGTTCTGCTCCAGTAGAATTTCATTCTTTCTAACTTGTTTGGAATTAAATTGTCTTAAAAGTCTCTAAGGTTACGTAATAATACATTTTGAATATAATTATGTGTTTCATTTAAAAAAAAATTTGATTAAATAACTAATCATTTTACACCAAAGAAAAACAAATACGCCTTTCTCGATACACTTCTCAACAATAAACCCCCTCTGGGTGTTTATTTGAATAAATACGGTATTTAATTCTACAAACTGTGACGTTATTACAATATAGATTGTTAGCTAGGAAAGACGTATGTATTTTATTACTTCATATAATTCGTTAATTCATATTGTATTATAATATTTTATTCAGTTGTGTCTGTGAAAAAAAAATAGGTCCGTAAAAATAATATCCAGAAATTATTACAAATTGTATTTTCAAACTAAAACAAACTGGAACAAAAATGTAAAAATAATATGAATGCACTCTTCATCTGTCTGTTGATGAACTTCATAACTCATCAACTTCTCAGTGATGTGATAAATAGATCCGAGTACCGAAGGAACAAAGGCAATTACGAAAAAGCTAATCCAAATATTCAATGATCCAGCCCGGAGAAATTCTACAAAAACTCATCCGCAAAAACGACCAAATTTCACTAGTATTCTTACTGATAAATTGAGTCTTAGGTCGCCAATGTGTCTAATCTTCCAATTGTCGCACGTGGGTGATTTGAGCTTCATTAATATTCATGATTTTCCGATGATAGAGTACGCTGAAGTGAAGGGGGTGCAGGTCAATGACCCTTAATCTAAGATTTCAGGTCATCCATTATCACTAATGAATAAGTTCAAAACAAGTATCTCTACATAATAAATGACGAAATTAAAATTTGAAATCTTGGAACCAGACACATTAATATTCAATAACTAATGTCGATCAGTTAATATCAATGGAGTACCCTGGGAAGTTAAGTGTTTCATGTCTTGATCAAGTATAGCCTACCTACAAAATACACAGTGTGGTTATTTTCTTAATAATTAATAAAGGGCGTTTACTTGAGTATATACGTATCGATTTTAAACACAGAAAAATAAATAAATAAATACAGTTAACCCTACTTTTAGAATGATATCGAATTATATATATATATAGGCCTGTATTGTATTTTTTTGTGTTTACGCTATAAATTTGGTGAGCGCGTATTCATTTCCTTGTTTCTATAAAATATACAGGCTTTTCCAGTTGGCCAATTTTTGTCAAGGTTGTATAGACAAATGAACTGCTAATAGCAAATTTATATACATTACATTACTTTGCAGTTAAATATTTTCCCGTATTTTTATCTGATTTACTCCCGATACTTAAATCAGTTAAATAAACCTCCTTTTTCATTCCCTTATCATTTTGTTTCCGGGCTGTCCTTCCTTACTTTTACTTTTAGGCAAAATACCCCGTAAAAGGTTAAAATTATAACAAACAATTTCGTTCTTATTGTTTGTCACGTTTATTGTGTATTACCATATATATATTCTCCAAATAATAGCCGAATGCAATCTAATATGCCTGTAATGTACATTAATATCTGTTTTATATTTATAGCTGTTTTATGTTCTGGCATTTAATGGTATTAATTTACAACCTAACAATTGTAATTTTACCATATAACAACTGGACATTGATTTCTGAATTCCGGCATTTATCTACGCTAACTTCGCATTTGCGTGTGGTGAACACGCGTGTAGCGAACAGTGAACACGTGCTTGTGCACACTACACCGTGATTTATGCCGATACCTTTTCCGAAAATTGCACGTGGTCTTCTATTATAAAATTATCAGTTCAGTGTATTTTCCAAATTCTTTGATTAACAAATTAATATACACGATCCCTCAAGCGAAAGCTTAATAAGCGATCTGCTCCAAGTTCCATTCGTGCTTGTACAAACTACACTTAAGGGTAAATCTTTAGGTTGATATTAATTGTTGTTTCTCAAGGACTTTCGGGACACCTTTTACCGCAAGAAGAGCGTTTACCTTACAGGAGTAGACTCCTTGGTTTCAGCTTTAGATGTCTTCCTTAAGGCTGGTATATTTTTACACGAATTAGGCACGTAACGTTACAAGAATTGGATCCAGTAAAAATAATTCAGCAATCGAAACGAACAAATTCGTTTATCTGCGAGAAATATCAACAAAATAATACGGGATATAGAATTTCATATTTACTTTAATTCTAGACGCGATTCCTGAACAGGTATTGACTTTTAGTACATATGGAAACGACACGAACCTGTAAGGAAGCCTTGTTTAATACACAGGCCTACCGACACTGCCTGTGTAGAGCAAATAAAGTTGATACTTAACAATGTTATTAGCTTTATTAAAAATTATAACGACATTTGATTTATAACGTTCCTTTGTTTTATGAACTTAAAATGCTGGAAATTTATAAACTTCATAAGTTAGGCCTACTTCTTAAATTAATATCGGATATTTATTACAAGCGAACCATTCATAATATTACTTTTTAAGTATTAAACATTTGGCAATACAAGATTTAACTCTGAATTTTAGTTTACTGATATTGCGCACCCTGATCACCTGTTGGCACGATTGCCTATTGATTCGTATTAACTTGTATATCGTTGTATTCTCGTTGTAAAGGTGGCTAAACATGACTAGATAAAATCTGTTTTTAACCTACTACTGCCAATATTGTATGTGATATTGTGTCCCTGATCGCCTACTCACACGATTGTCTATTGGTCCGATTCTTTCTTTTGTTAAAAAATGTCACTCAAAGTTCATGGTGTTGCAAACGAACAAAGAAAAAAATCTTACAATAAAACAAGGACAGTGTTTGACTACATGAATAAAGTGAATAATAATAGTAATTATAATATTAATATTAGTATAACAACAATAATTTATAATAATAATAATGGTAATAATAGCCTATATACCGTATTTAATCGAATACTGTAAACGGGTTTTTGAGGGGGTGATTATTCGAGGGAGGCGCTTATTCGAGGGGAGTTCATTTTTTGGATGTAAAATGGATACGTTTGTACTCAAATAAATGTCCCTAAATGTCACCGTAAATGTGGATCTACAACACATAATTACCGTCAAAGTGTGTTATTGCGTGATCATCTAGACTTCTTGATCCCTTTGGATGTCGAACTTTACGCTCCACAACCAGAACAACCAGGTTAGAAAAAATGTAGATCTACTGGAGTAGAACAATAACAGAATGTGTTCAGAATGATGTTGCTTCCATTAGATATGTTTGCAGTCATTTAGGGGAGGGGGAGTTTATTCGAGGGAGGAGTTTATTACAAATGAGGTTCTGGAGGGGGAGGGTTGGTTATTCGAATCTTGCTGGTACAGAAAAGAAAATTCGTATATATTAATAATAATAATGATAACAATAATGAATAAGCTGACATAAGGTCTTTTTACGTGAACGATAGGAGCATGTATGTCAATATGTAAATTAACTACAGGACAATTAATTTACTAATTAATGCACTTATCATGGGCAAGGGCGAATCAATGAGCAAATCCTCAGGATGTTTTCAGTTTTAATAGGCATGTATTGATACAGGTTCGAACTTAATTACGGTGTCAACTTACAAGCCGGATCGTTTAAAGGGTTTTTGTTCAGCCGGAAAATTTCTTTCTTTGTTGTAGATTTTTTAAAAAATGGAACAGATCATAACGGAATGAGAGGTTTTGAATAGTTTTATATTACCACTAAGCACCATGCTGTAAGTCTGCTATCATATCAGCTGATACTTGAATCATAGGTTATCCCCCACATCTCGTTTATTTAGCTACATCCTCTTTGTTTAGTGGTATATGTTTCATATAAGAATGCTAAATATCGGATTGTCGGAAATCCTAGGCGTAACGCAATTACTACCAACCGCTGGACGGAATTTCTATCTTTTTGTGGGCCTTATGTCCCGTAGTCTATCCGGGCAGCGGGAGTGTTGCTTTGGCACGATCTTTCTTGCGGCTATTTAATTGAACAAGACAGCTTAGTAATGTAAAGTAAAGGTTTGTGAAATTGCTGCGAGAGCGACGGGATGGGCGCAAGCGGGATACCCAGCGTTGATTGACGGTGACAACTTATTGAAAACACGCCCCCATCGATGCAATGTCAAACACAACTGTACTCCGATCTACATCTTCGTGTTAGTGCTTACGGGGATTTAAATACTTAAACATACTACTCACACTCAAGCTAGATTATTAATTCACAAAAAAAATCATATTCGCTAAAAATAACCTTTGCGCAGATGAAATTTTGGGATTTTGATCTACAAGGATTTATAATCGATTTTGGTTTCGGTAAACAAGTTTTAAACACAAACGATCAGAAAACTGCGGCTTGGACTATCGACAGCGATTTTGCGCCTTCATTAACATGCACTGGATGCTTACGTTTCTGGAACATCTCTTCCGTGTATGATTTTCCTGCGGTTGTGAAGTACATCTGTCAACGGCTGCCGAAGACGTAGATGCGTTTTTTCCCTAGCTGACCAGTCATGCATAATGCCATCAGACGAGGCACACGTATGTAGCGCCGTCTCGTGGAGTTAGTTGGCTGGTTCCAACATTGGTGAAATATCGTGCTTTTGTGATCAATTCATAACTTCTGCATGGAATAACCATTATTGAAGTGGATGAAATTTACTCTTTGGATTATTTTTTAAAATATCACGGATGAGTATCAATAGCGTATGCGAATCATATTTAGGCCTACTGGGTGAACATTGAAAACGGCATATTTGACAAATAAGCACGTAAGTACACTAATACGACTTGATCATTAGTAATAATGTTTCTCTCAACTGTTTTGTTGGTTTTGGTATCAACAGATAATAACAATATCGCCGGATTTAAACGTATTAAAATTGACGAAGTTGTTTTACAGTAAACTAAGAATAAGAATATAATTTACTCAATTATGGTAATAATTTGCCAGCTATAATACCGATCATGTTAACAAACGAAGTGTTTGCCAAATTAAATTGTAGTTAGGCTACGCCATCCGTGTACACGTAACTGAACAGCGCAAATCCACGTCATCCAAAGGCGCACTTAAGAATGAGGCTGCGCTTGAAATGCCATTATAACGTTTCGATCCATTATTATTTTTTCGTTCAATGCGATAAAAATGTAAACACCGTGGGTTCCTCTTACCTAATTGGTTGTACTGTAACGCGTAGCCAAATTTACATCTGGACGCGTACGCGCTGTTTGATGTACCTTATGACGTGCGACTCGTTTTAATGCCAGAATAATTTTGTCGGTATTTTTATGACAACGAATGTAATAACATACCTTTAATGGTGTAGTGTAAATGTATGTCATTGTATGATATCAATTTACCAACATTATTTTGTAGCAACTGCTGCTATACTTCATGTATTATAATCGTAATCTCAACTGAATATGGTGTTGCACGTTAAGTTCAGCACATACCATTAGGCCTACTTAACTGGTCGTGAATCATTGCGTGCCATAGGCCTATATTATATAAAATATATTATATATCTGTCTTGATTTACACTCAAATGCGCTAGTAGAATAATCCTACAACATTGCTATTGATCATACATTCTTTTTAGAATTATTAATTGTCCTGATAATCTTCAAAATTCACCCCACAGGGCTACCAAAATGGGTCCCTTGGCCTTGGATCTTACTGTCTCGTTGAGTTTCGCGGTGAAATAGGAAATTAATCCCTAAAATTTACTTTAGGGAGAAATGTTATTAAAATGTTCAGCCGTGGGTGCGTTAAAATAGACGCTACGCTCTTCACGACAGCTAAAATAGAGTACCGGTATGTTTTCACTTTCATAATATATTAACACATGTAAAAGATAAAATATGGGTTCTGAATTAATTATAGCACCAGCTCGTAGGAATGCAAGTTAATATGGTCTAGTATTGATAAATCATTATAACGATAAAGTGTCCACTATTTTAGATATTCCGGCACTGCCCCCCCCCCCCACAACCCTATTTCTGTCCTGCCTCATATACAATATTGAGTAATTACAGCTGATATATTTGACTCATGCTATGCCTGTCTCATTTATGCCTAATAGATTAACTCATTAAAACAATTGCAGTATAGCATGAATAACTGCACTGATGATTGACAATTTCCTGGAGTCCATACGGTGTCCCTGTGTCGGAGGTTATCCTTAACGTGTCCCCGGCTCTAAGGTTGCTGTTAGGGCACTAGAAATAGTATTTAGGTTTGACTCATGTATGCCTGTCTCTTTTTTGGTTAACAGATTGACTCATCAGACAATTGTAGTATGAATAATCGCATTGAGAGTTGCCAATTCTGTCAGAAGCTGGCGAGTTACATTCTCTGTCGAAAACTGTGGCCATCCTTATGCCACAGCGTTTCCTGTTACCTCATCTTAAAGCTGTCTACTGCCATAAATAATTGAACCCGGAGATCACTGTGATCTTAAAAAATATTCCATTGCAGCAACGTAATTGCGTGGATTTTAACGTATTATAAAAGACAGATGATCCTACATTTAAGGAAATATTATATACGCCTTTCATGACTGTGTTTCACATCGACGTTAAAGGAGTTACTCTGTAAAAATAACGCCTATAACGTTTATAACTTTTTTTTATGTTGTCTGAACGCAAACATACACCGTAATGGGCGCAACACATGGTAAGCCACGCCCTACAGTGCGATCGGTTATTGACGTAGCTGACCAATCAGATGACGTTATTGATGTGATTGATTTGGAATATTCTGATTATTTTGATGATGTGTTTGAGGATAACGAACCGGTGAAAAATGGAACAATCCAGAAATTACGTTTGTGGGATCTTCCCTATTCGTCTCCGACAAAGAACGGAAAGAGATCCGCAAGTGAAAATGGAGGAGTTGCATTCACACGACGAGGTAAGGTTGTTTTTTTTTTTTCTTTCGAAGAAGATAGATTTTGATTTGAAAAATCTTTTGGTTATAAATTATACGGAAAACATTTGTCAAAACACCTAATGCAATCCATTACACACAGTGATGATGCTGTGGATACATACATTAAAACATTACTGTTCCTCCATCTGACATTTAGTATCTTGGGAGTTAGTTTCTTCAGCATCCATAGTTGTTGAAGAAGGCTGTTGAGAGCATAGGTACCGATACCAACATTGGTATCAATAAGAACATAATAATAATGCTTCGGTGACTTATAATGTTTTAATGGTCGTTGTTTGATATCTTTTTTATATTGCAATTTTTATAGTTCATTATATTTGATCATTCTTTTAATTGTTTTACTGTATTTTAATGCGAGAACTGAATTTCCGACTTGGAGCAATAAAGTGTATCTTACCTTATCTTATCTTATCTAAACATATATAAACAGGGGAACGAAAAGATGACAACGCGTAGGAGGCCTAAATACTCGCAAAACGAACAATGTACACAATTTGTGTGAAACGGTATTTTGACGTCGTTTGCCCTTCATATTTGTCTCCACAAAACACTGTTTGATGAAGCAGACAACAAAGTGATTATAACAATGACCTAATTATAATGAAAAAAAGAATAATAAATGAAAGTACCAACAAAAAAGCATAATTGTAATAATCTATAGGCCTAAATAAACATTGGGAAATACGGTAATAAATGAAACTATCCTGGCAAAACAAATTATAATTATAGGCTTATAATAAAATAAATAGAAAATAATAGGCTTATAATAAAATAAATAGAAAAATTAAATAAGTATTCACTCGTTTAAAAAAAAAATGCTTAAAATTTCCACTTAATCATCTGTACTGTAAGACAAAAATGCAGGTGGTAGTCAAACCTGTCATACGCTTTGTGTAAGCATATATGTATCTCAAGCGCTTCTTTTTGCATGATATATATATATATATATATATATATATATATATGTATATATTATATAGGCCTATATAAGTATATATATGGGCTTTTATATGTGCATAACTATATATCACAGTTAACTTTAAAGGTATAAATATAGAGGTCGCTATTCTAATGATTGATTCATTCAACACATGTCCAATACCAAAATTATTGTTGCAGAAATATCAAACGCGTCATCGCTGACGTTGAAATGTTTGACACAACAACACATTACCATTTCCCATGTTAATATTAGCCTATTGGGTAATTAAACCAAACTCCGTGTTTGGACATATAAACATTCTCCTAATTTGAAGATGGCGTTTCGTGATTTAGCCTCCTCCTCCTCCTGTTTTTTTTTAAACGCCTGACGGTCTTTGTTAATAATAGCAACATATTATATTTTTGATTGTAGGCCTATATAATTACCTCCAATACTGAATATTAATCAGACACTTAGAAAAAACACCGAAGAAAATAGGCCTACATAAAACTTACTCTAAGTCCTTAAACCTGACAGCTACAGTAGGTCTCTATCTACGAATGAGAGTCATAATAAATCAAATCCGTATGCAGTTGGATATTAAAGATAAAAGGAATGCCGAGATTTACCAGGTAACTTTTAAGTGTTGGTATAAATAACGTTTGGTCAGTTAGAAATTAGTCCGTAAGCTTGAGTCAATGGATTTTTCCTGGGCATAAGTAGACATAGCTCCGGTTAGAATTATTATTAGAAATATTATATTATATTTTATATAATATATAATATAATATTACAGTAGTTAAAACCCTATCTTCGATTGGGGTATAACGCGGATATTTGTTATTTTCTTTATCAATGTTATTTACTTCATGGTGGGTGTTGCTATCGTTTGAACTAGGACAGAAGTAAACATGGTCAATTACAATTATTTATTTAGTTGAAATTTCGTCACTCTAAAGTGCGGTGACCTGCGAGAACAGTCATAAGTGTTCAAGTAATATGGATATATGCTCCGGTTTCAAAACAAGTAATGAATAGGAGCTTAACTGGTGAGATGAACATTCTTTTGAGGCGGGTGTAGGTATAATATAGTCTGATCTTTTAATCTTGCTAGGCTGATCACACTCATCGTCTGCTGGGATTGCTTACGTCAACCATGGTCTAAGTATGAATTAAGCTAAGTGTAGGTAATTCATTGGAGGGTAATGTGTGGTCATTCAATTATTTCAGTAATTTACCCCAAATTGATTCTTTCTATATTGATCAAAAAATATTAAAAAGCATAAAATACAGAAGCAAGAGTAGAAAAATACGTTTAAAAGATTCATCTAGCATTCGTGTTGAAAGCATTTAGTCATGAGTGGGAATATATATCACTTCAACACTGCAAAACAAAACTCAATGTGTGTTGCCTATTATAATAGGCAGTTTTCGCCGCACGACGGAGCTATCGCGCTGCATTTTGGGTAAACGTTAAAGTTAAGATTAATGTCGTGCAGCGAAAACTACCTTTTATGTTTTTGGCACGCGTAGGCGTACTTTAATTAACGCAATGTAGACCTAGACCTAGGTTTTATGAGACTACTCATGTCAAAGTTTATTCCCACCATTTCTTCTTACCTTTTGTAGTGTCTAGACCTAAATCCTAAGCATACATAATAGGCCTACTGTCATATTACACATGGAATTGTTAATATGTTACCGTACCTTTTTCTGCTTTTATATGTTATTGAACTTGGTGTGGAGAAACACCATGCTAACTGGACTTTCTTATATTTATTAATTTACTCACACTGATCTAATGAAGTTTATAAAGTTTATAATAATTATCCAAAAGAAAATTAATTAATTCGACTATTCGTAACTTATTCTTTTTTTCTTTCTTTTTTATATTTGCAATAATATAACACAAAAACATAATATACAAAATACATAAAAAGCAATAAAAAGGAAAAAGCATACACTATGTTGTTAGGTGTATTTGTCATTACCTTAAAAAATACATTTTGTTTTCTTACTTCCCTTCTCCTTCTCTTTCTCTTCTCTTATTTAAATATACAAAGACTAAACTTTAATTAGACATACTAATAACAGTGGAAATTTAGTCGGATCATTGTTTTCTTCATTTAGAATATGCTATCTTAAGTCTCTTACTATCTTCAATTTTGTTAGGGGGCTACATCATTTTTTTCTTTGGAATTAAACACATTAAACAATCATTAACATGTCTTGGTATAAATTTCATTTTTGGAATGCTTCTCAATAGCATTCGTAGCTTACATTCATTATTTTTACAAGTCGTTGTTCTTTCCTGTTCATGTAGGTCTTTACTCAGAATCAGACATCAACCCTCCCAAGCCAGAATATGGCACAATCCTCAACCACGGCCGTAAGAGGATCCAGTCCGCCAAGGAAGTTCGCAACAATTCGAAGCGATCTAGTCTATTAAGAAAGATATTTACCAAAGCTGAGAAAAAATCCGATCCTGATTCAGATATTTACCAAGCGAACTCCTTTCACAGACTTTGTATCCCCTCATCTAACGCGATGGGAACCTGTTGCAGTACCTCACAGAATCCATCCAGTTATTCTAAACAACAGAGTGAGAACTTCTCTCGGACGTTCCCACATAAAAGAGAATTTGAAGGAGTGACGCGCAATCCGACACGATCGCGAGATAAAAACTCTTGTACAGAAAATGACAAAAATCGATCAAATGTTGTCAGGGTTGGTGATGATAATGATGTAGGTAATCAAAATGGACGGAACTCGGCCGACATTTGGGTAGGCCATGGAACTCCTAAACGAAATGGAGATGCTCGTAAGAAGCTAACTGAGGAATGGGTTTCAGGTGATGATAACAAGCCACGTAGGTCGAGGCCTTTTCCACGATCGATTGTTGTTAATAATGAAACAGAGGAGAGGGATACCAATTTTGGAGTTAGGAAAGCGCAAATGCAACCACAAGTCTCGAGACATCGGAAATTAACACCCGCCGTTCCTTTGACAATACCAGTATTTAAAGGTAAGATATAATTGTTATAATATTAAGATATAATTATTAAGATATTATTATTATTATTATTATTATTATTATTATTATTATTAATTATGATTTTACCAATACCTATGCCAATATAAAAAGGTTCGTGATGGACGTTTTCTTTACCTTAAAATCGCGGCCAACGGTTAAAGTTCAAACACGTTTCTTAATCAGTTATCTAGTTGAAACATCTTCAACATTCCAGAAATATCTAACAACTTTATGGACACTAAAGACAAATGGGTTGGAATGACGTACTTCGTAAAACATTAAAAATATATTGAACAAATTAAATTTAAGAAAGATGGGATAAAGTTAGAAATGATGATGGCAATCTAATTTATTCGTCATTAAATTATCAAAACTAAAAAAAAAATGGTGATGTTGAACATGTGTATAAATTTGCACTACGCACTGCAATCCCATCAAGGCTCGGAAGCTCAGGATTTTTTTTTTAACTGGATGAATAAAGACACTAAGGAAAATTAATTTGGATGTAAATTCACAAGATGGCCACTTTAAAGTTTGATGACAGAAAAACATAAATGCCATTCTAGGAGACAGACGGCTTGACGGACGCAACGAAACAGTTTCGTTGACTGACCAATAGACATGTATATAGCCTAGTCTTCTATTAGGCGAAATATTTCAATATAATAACCTAGTCGTTTTTAACCTCAGCTCAAATGCCGAGTACACTACCACCGGTCGGTGATGTTGAAGAGTTAGAATATGGACGTGATGACAGTCGGAGTAGTAGATCAAGCAATAGCACACCGACCAAAGGTATAGTAAGATGCCTATGCTATAATTATTATGGTACTCACCCGTTTGTAATATTAAGCCTATAAATAATTACTGATTGGTTCATAATAATGGTGGCGTCATAAAAAGATTACAAATCAATGTACGTTGGACTGATGAAGATTTATCTATCTAGGTATTATCATTTTATTATATTATTTTAATAACTCTAAACTCTGGATAATTTTGAAGAAAGAACTTACTTGAGCTTTCGACCGTATTATAGCTTTGCTCACAAATGACCACCTGGGAAAATTCCAAGGGTCAAGAGATTCTGGAATCACTGAGGTCAAACGACCTGGCCCCATCCAATCCGATGGTTTTGTTTTCAGGATGTTGTTCCACACATTAGGAGATGTACATTGTCAATTATTATTATAGTTTTTAAATAAATAATAGTAAATATAAAATAATAATTACAAACATTAATAATGGCCATGCATAATGATGACGATGGTGATGAAGATGAATATAAAGATAATGATGCTGATGATGATGTTGCTGCTGATGATAGAGATATGATGATTATAATGACAATAATAATAACTAATTATTAATGCCAACGCACTAGTAGGCCTAACTATTATAATCTTACATTTTCACAGTTAAACCCATACCACCTTCGATCCAATATCATTCCATTTCACCACCATGCTCATCTAGTTGGCCAAGCCTCTCAAACGGTGGTAACTACCCTCATATACCACCTTCAACCCCGCCTCATAGACGTATGTTGTGTCCCTCACCAAAGCACTTGCAAGTCACGTCTAGGCAAAACTACGAGATACCTAAACGGAAACTAGTGCGCAAACTCACTCCTATAATTCTAGAAGTGCCGAAGAATTTGGAAGGCAAGTTTTAACGTACAAGCGTTTACATTGCAGCATATCGCTGACATTATTACGTTATTCGTTTTGGTTAACGCACTTACTGTGCACTGCGTTTTGACGTTTGTTCATAGTAAGCAATAGAAAATCAGTTGTAGCAAGCATATTTTTCGTTCATTCATTCAATAATCAATTAATTAATCATTTATTTATCATCTCAAAGATACATATTTATCATTTCCCATTCATTAAAATCATAATAGTGTAGACCCCTATTAAGGGGATACCTTCAAGACCAAAAAAAAGTATCCCCTTAATAGGGGTCTCCCCTGAACAAGGGTACCCCTATTCAGGAGACATTAGCCAAAAACGTGGAATTGTCCCATTAGGTTTTTTTGGCATGTTTTCGTATAATGATGACAAGATTTTTTATAATTTTATTTTAATTTACCTAAGAATGAGTTACAGTTTAATTATAACAAATTCATAACAATAATTTGCAATGCAAAAAATAATTCATGTTCCCGATATAGTTTCTTTATTCGAGTGCAATGTTAATGACCAAATATATATATTTTTTAATATTGAGCTTTCTATTGGATGCAAAAGATAGAATACTATTAGACAAGGTACAGGCTGTCCGGATAGATTAGTAGAATCCTATATCAAAATACACAAAACAAGAAATCTCAGTTAATGGTAAAATTGACAAGATTTTATTTATACGAAGTAACACATGCACTAGGCATCCAAAAAAAATTGTGGTTTGATGTTAAATTTATTGCTCAAAAGGTGTCAAAATATAAATTTGAATGATTTTTTTTCTTATTTTGTGCCTATTGAAGTTGTTTTGATACAATAAAAAAAAAGTGTTGCCTTAATAGGGATGAAATTGTTTTAATTTGACCATTTTGCACACTCAAAAAGTGTCCCCGTCCCCTGAATAGGGTGTCCCAAAGGAGGGCTTGTACTGATAAAAAAGTTGACCGATTTGTGATTTGTACTATAATCCACACAAACGTCTACAAAAGTTACGTAAGCCTACCTTGCCAATTTTTTAACAAGCATAGATTGATTAATTGATTGAATGATTAATTGATTGATAGATACATATTTTGAATAATGTTCTGTTGGTTCAAAACGTAGGTCGGAACCACAGCATTTCCGACGACGAAGAGGAGTCAAACGAGTTTTTTCAAAATGGAGTGTATGGATACGAGAGCATGGTTGAAAGAGTGCCTAAAACGAACGGATTGAGTGATGAGTATAAGGAAGAGCTTAAGAACACAGTGGACGAGTTAATTGACCAACTGTCGCCTACAATTATGGGTGACGAGTTTGTCGACAGACCTTTTGGACGACCGTCTCCGTCATATTGGCATCGGCAATCTAGCGAGGCGGGCAACTTCGTGTTTCCGGATGTACGAGTCAATGGCAAATTAGAAATGATTCCGCCGTTCAATGGAATCAACGGCGACGTGTCTCCGTCGGTATGTAAAGAAACAATACCGGTAACGTGCGAGAACGAGAATGATGTCGGTGGTGGGGATAATTCAGATTGTGGTGATAATGATGATGATGATGATGATGATAATGATGATGATGATGATGATGAGGATGAGCATGATAATGATGATGATGAGGATGAGGATGATGATGAAGATGGTGATAAGGGTAATGATGAGGATGATGATGGTAATGGTAATTTATGATGATAATGATGATGAGGATGATAATGATGAGCGTGATGATTATGATGGTGATAAGGGTGACGATAATGATGATGGTAGTGATGATGATGATGATGATGATGATGATGATGATGATGATGATGATGATGATGATGATGATGATGATGATGGTGGTGGTGATGGTGGTGGTGGTGGTGGTGGTGATGATGATGATCGATGATATCGATTATGATGGTGCTGATAATGTTGATGAAAATTATGATAATGGCGACATTGTCATAACGAAAATTTTGACAATTTAGGGGTTTCAAAGGCTTATTTAATCGATTTTAGAGTCCAATAATATGTAGAAAATACATATAATTTTTTTCCTCCCCGAGATGTGTATAAGAGACAGGGACAAATTTATATACTTTGATAATATATATATGCATGTAATGTATATAACTTTGCTATATATATATTACACTGACAATGATTATAATAATGATGATAATTTTAGCGACATTGATGATAATGATGATGGTAGTGTATTGAAATTGATGATGCCGCCGAAGTTGTTTGCCAATGATAAGGATGATGGTGATGACGACGATGGTAACATAATTATGATGACGATGATATTATATGAATTAGGACTATATTGATGACTACAAAGGTACAGTACATTGTGATGACTTAAACGACAAAGATTACACGACTGATGGAATTTGCAATCTACCATCACAATTTTTTTTTAAATATATTAATATTCTTTGCCGACCATTAAAGGATAAGTTGGCATTTAAATGTCGATTTGTCTGGAATGATAATGTGATCATGTACATTAATAATAATCATTAAAGAATGTATTTTCATTATTTCACGTACATTTTAATGACATTGTAATGTGCTGCCATCTGTGGGACCGGCAGTTAATTAATTATCTCTTGAAATATTTTTTTTATTTATTAGATGACACCGTTAAACAGTAAAGTTCATCGAAGAAAGATAACGCCGGCGCCTTCTGCTCACCCGCCTCTGTACAAATTTGGTAAGTGATTAGTATTATTAATAACAGGAATAATATTAAGCCAAATAGTAATAATTATTTTTCAAATATCATACAAATCCCACTTATTATTATATATAAAGTGTATATAATACATATTAAACAAATCATAGGCCTATATAGAAATAATTTCTAAACTGTCTTGCAGTAATGCTATAAGTATATATACATTTTGAACATTAAAGATAAGGAATCTGCGAGTGCAAAAAAAAAAATGCCCAATCAGGGATTTAAACCCAGACGCCTTAACCAACTGGGCCATGGAGGATTTGTTGTGAATTCAAATTCGGTAAAAGCAACTAATCCTTCACACTCTTACGCATGCGTAGTCCTGGATGCATGGCAGATAACAGAGATCAATATAATACACCATATATTCTTGCAAGCATTTGACGACCAGGCAGGATCTCAGAAAAGAAACTTTTATAAACAATATAATAATATACAATATTATATATATTATTTATATCATATACACATATACTGCTGCACAACAGATTTCACAACAATGCCTATGCAACAGCGTATAAACTGTAACTGTTTGCCGATGTTATCAGACGTTACATAGGCCTAATACGTTTTATATTGGCCATACCAATTAGAACCAGATTCATATCTTAACATATGCAAAAAGTAACGGTCCAATGATGGTGTGTAACTGTAACTTCCATCAGGTGTATAATCATATTGGAGTTTGAATAACGCATTTATCATAATTATTCTTATCGCAAATATTATTGTACTTTTAGTAAAGTGTATTTGATTTCTAATGTTCCTAATGTTTGCTTACAGATCCAACACAAATGAAATTCAGTTCATCTGCATTTGCTGAAGATGAAGAATTATTATAGTAACGAATACATCAGTTAAAATGAAAACAGAAAAACTAAGTGCATTTAATTGATGTTTCATTGACGTATGTATTGACAATTGTGTTTGGACGGTAACGAAAGCACGACTTGCGTTTAATGTCAACCGCCGACGTAAAGTGATATATATTTTACGACAGAACATATTGGATCCGTTTGAGTCAAACAATTACAGCACATTGTGAATTTAAACAGATCAATGATATCACAAAGAATGTACGATCATCAGCAAACATCGGATCCACCGGGACGTCTAGCAAAGACGTCAAATCTTACTCAGATATTATTTTTTTTATATATACACTGTAGGAAAACAAACCGAATGTTTACACACCACGAGTGGCTTATAAGTATTGCTATAACAACAGGTTATCTTTAGCATTAGTTGCAAGAATTAATCGTTAAAACAATAATTGTTCTACCGTCCTCGATCACTAATGGGCTTTACAAAAGTTTTACAATGTAATCAAATGGCAGAAAAAATGATATGAAGTAATTTCTGGCCTTTTGGTTCAGACCTTTTAGAAATTGACTGGACATTTAAAAGCCTCGTCATAGAAATGCGTTACTAAAATACGTACGGGTGTTATGCGCTGCTTGTCAGCCATTGACAGGAAGAAAAGCTCAGGGTTTTTACACTTCTAAAAGAATTATTGTGGGCTCTCCTAATTCGCATATCGTAATATATTCGCCTATCTTATTGTATATATATCATATTAGTTTGTATATAATTGTACTCATTATATCGGCCTCATTTCATATCAGGTGTATGCGAAATTATTAGAAGATGAAATCTATTCGATTATGTCAATGTAGAAATTAGAAAGTCAAGGGTGCTACATGTGTATTTGTCTCGTAGTTTAATCTTCTGATATAAAAAAAAATTAAATGTATTGTTCGAGGAGATAAAGTCAAAAACAAAATCCTCTGCCCCTTAATGAAACATATTGAAATTAAAAGATCGTGTAATGAATTTGAACAAGCAAAATATTTTTGCCTTAAATATCGCTTCATCGTTATCGTTGTCACACCGTCGTCGTCATTATCATCATCGTACTAAACATCATCATTATCAAACATGACAGGAATCTTTACCTGCATGTTATCTGTGCCATCATTAATACTCATCTTCGACAAACATCATAATTATTTCTTAATATATTTCATACAATTTTTAAATGAATTATTAGGAGTATAACCATTTAGCTAGAGAGTTGACAGTTTTTAATAATTTAACTGTATTTTATTTAACAACCTTTACTTACATTCTTCATCTGTTTGCATGTATTGAATTGTCTTGTATTTTAGTTTTTTAAAGAGGGCCCAGAATATCAGCTGACCTCCTTAGTTGGAAGGGTCACCCACTTCAAAAATGGTTTAAATATTAAAATAAAAAATAAAACATTGAGATCACATTATTGTTATCAATTACAAATAAGGAATTTTAAAGAACTATCTAAAAAATACTATCATCCTTTTATTTGTTTATTCATATTTTATTAAATATTTACACACCAACAGTTATATAATATTAAAAACAGATAAATACACATTATATTTTCATTATATACAATAACATCTTTGATGCCATTTACAAGACAATAATCAATAATAAGTTATAGTAATTATTATTCAATTTCAAAAATTGATGAAAAATGCCAATAATCTATAATTATAATAAAAACATAATACAATAAAATACTTTATCATCAATACATATATTTGCAAATACTAATAATTGATAATTGATTACCAGTACAAATATTCGATATTCAAATATATAATAAATTGAACTACTCTTACTCAAACAACAGCCTTGTTCACTTGTTATAATGTCCAGCCCTATGCTTTACCAAGTTGTATATTTTATGACAAAGTTTTAAAACCCTATAAAATCGTAGACTACAGTTTAAGACATTGCAATGCATTTGCCAAGATGTGTATTCGTCGTGGTTTCATTTATCATAGTTTATATTTAGCTGTGGCTGAATGTTTTCTGATTAAACCAACTGATTGAATGCTGGATCCAGGGTAACGTAATCCTTACAGTTCTATCAGGGATTTAATGACTCAGTTAAATATAGCCTGCCTTTATTTATCTATATATGAGTACATACAGATGTTTTATTATGTGATACCTCTCCTTTACTTCTATGTTCATATGCTGAAACTAAAGAGTTTGTAAAAATCATTAGGAGGAACAATATTTTAGATGTATTAGATGTTTTGTGCCTTTCCACAATTAAAAGAAAGACATACTGCCTTAAAAAAAAAAGCGACAATTATCAAACAAACATGTAAAAAATTTAGTGCGTTTTCAAAATTTTTAAGCAGCCTGTGTGGTGCCGTGAAGATTCATACAAGATCTTTCAATAAGCTGGAGTCTAAGCAATGTTCTCTGCTTCCAGGGTTCCCCCGTAGGGGGTTGTCTACCCTCCTGGGACCTCCACTGGCACCAGCACTGCATCCAATACTAACCATATATGATAGCTCTTTGTTGAGCATACAATTCCTTTTGTGTGTACAAGGTTTGCACTAGTCACTTTCACATAATAATACATTGTTTTATTATCCTAATTAAATCTTCTCATTGTTATAAATATACCTATAAAATAATCTCTTTCTTATTAAACTCAATCTCTTTCTTATTAAACTCTTATTATTAACTGCATATAGAGCATTAGAGCTAGCCAATAAGAAATCACATCACATTATTTTCGAAAAGATGAGTGACCTCTTTGAGAGGAGTTCCCTGATTGGTCGTCTTTGTTGAACCTTCCAGATAGTTTGTTGGCGAGATTACAGATAATGGCAGCCTGGAGAGAAGAAACATAAATATAAAAGTACTATAGGCAATACATTTCCATAAAATAAACATAACTGTTATTACTTCTTAGAAAAATAAAAATATGAAACAAATTTTGATGATTACAGCTTTCCTAGGAATCTGATTAAAGACACTATAAAAACATTGATTTTCATATTTATTGTGAACGTTTTTAGAGCGATACTTTACACAACCAAGGGGTAGATTAATCAAATGTATTTCATGAGGGAAAATTCTTATGAAAAATAATAAATTTACTATAAAATAATTATCAACATGTCATAAAAACATTAGCTATGCATGCTATAAATATGTTGCAATTTATACTGCAACTGTTTACATTCAAATTTATGGGGTAACATCAGATGTGAGAACATTAATATAACAGACTTCCACTTGGGTTTGCATGATTGACAAATTGCACTCTTTGCTCGTAAAAGAAAAACCATAAGTTCACTTTAATCTACTTGATTACCAAGAGTATTACTGTACTTGTATTGATAATCCCAAGATTAATAAATCAACTTAAATCCAATGATAATTACTAATCCATGCCACCATGCCAGACACATCCTTTAGGAGCTTATCAATCATTATTAATCCACTTACCTGTTTGGTCTTAACGATCAGAGAATGGCTACCTGTGCTGTCACGATACTTAAGGTGGAAGGATTTCATATCGGACGAACAGTTCCATGAGCTGGCCTGCTCATACGGACAGCTCAACAACATCACCTGTGTGAAAAGTCAAGGGTCAAATCACTGATCATCAGGTCAATAATTTATAATTTTACAATTATGATTAATCTTGAACCTGCTTTGAAAGATTATCCATACAAATCAATTTATCCATGTTCAAAATATAATCATCCTGATTTGTTTAATTATATTTAGCTGTGATGAATCAATTAACAAGTTACTGGCCACATAACTGTGACAGGATAATGCGACAATGCTACCGTTAAAAATTATGATTAAATCTATGAAAATATTAGATATTGTCGTAACATAATAATAATAATATTGTCTTAAGCCGTACACACACTGTGCCACAGACAATAGTCGTCAACCAATTAATTTTCATGAAGACATATTGCAACGAGGTGCGTACAACGGATCATCGTTATTTACAATTATCTCTGCCATCGATAATCAACGGACGGCATCATGTCATTAAGATCACACATGGAACAGAGATGATTTGTCAGGCTGACAAAAGATGCGTGCCTGGTTTTATAAGACAATATTTCTGTACTGTTAATTTTACCATAAGGATGACATTAATTATGGTTAAAATACTATCATATAATCTTATATAATATATTCATTACAAACCTTGCTAATTGCATTGATGGCATGTATACCCCTAGAATTTGTTCCTACAAACACAGCAACAGGGGGACGTTGGGTTCCCCTGGTCCTTGATGCCCCCATCTGGGCAAATCCAAAGAAGAAGGCTGATCCATAAATTACAAAAGATCTACACTGCTCAAGATACATAAGTTGAAGTTTCTGCAAAAAATATGGAATTTTTTTAATGCAAAATCCCTTCATAAATATTTAATATAATACTAATTCAAAAGGAAAGTAAGTTTAATTATTAAGTTAAGTTAATGAGATATAAGAAAAATATATATAATACTAAATAATTATAAACGATATACATATCAGAAAATGTTTTTATATGCCAATATTATTATGATATTATTAAATATTAAGTTTAAATACATATAGTACTGTGTATTAAGCTAAAAAATAAAATTCAAAATTTTAACTGCTTATCAATAACAAAGATTTACATAAATCTTTTAATTTAACAACTTATTTGATACTCCTAAATAAAAATTCATATATTAAATTAAATTTGTGCATTTTTTAAGTTCACCCCAACACAGTATATATACATACTCAATTAAACTAAATAACATACTATATAATAAGATTAATAATACACATATTCATTATTCCATCTGACACCTACTGTAATATCCCTAATGCCTTTACTGGTTACATTCTTGTGTTCTGCTGATATTCTTTGTGCCCAGTTTGCAGTTTTATTTATTTGAGATTTGGCTTCCAACTTCACTCCTGGTATAAAATGCCTCAGGTTGATATTGCTAAGAGAGAGGGAAGGGAAGAAAAGATGAAAAGAATCAGAGATCAGTGGTAACATTGTAAACGGTAACTTGTACTTTCACTGTAGTGGTGATACTCTTGCTATGACAACATATATAAACTAGAATATAAAAACCAAAAGAATATTTCATTATCTATTAGATTATAATCACTTATTCATGTGGAAAGCTACATAAAAGAAAACACAGGAAGTTATTATTCTCAAAGAAGTTCATCTGGTTTCATAATTATAGTAGAGAATTATCTGTTTTGTTTTGTGAGTGATAGTGCACTCACTCACCGAAGTGTGAACGACCCAATTCAATCAAGGGTCCATTAGCCTGAAGAAAGTGAAACCCTTGCTAAGGTAAGCAACTAATTGGTTTAACAAAACAGATAATTCTCTACTAGGAAGTTATGATGCTGATGGCAGAAACAAAAAATCAGCATTTTACAAAAAAAAAATCAAAAAAAAAAATCATGGTTTGGTGGCTACCATCTTGAAATATGTTTTATATAAAAATAAATAATATTGAGAACTTACTTTAAAAAGCCTGCTTTATGTTTTTTTGGATCATGATCACCATAAACAATCTGAATAAAACAAAATAAAGAATACAATTATTGAAACTTTAAATCATTAATAAAAAATATAGGAATTCCTCAAATACAAATATATTATCTTTTTTTAATTTCTAACACATGGATAAACAATATAAAGTTTCTGTATCAAATATTTAACAGAAAATAAATAGAATTAATGTTAAGACATTAGGATTATTAATACAAATCTAGTTTGATTGACAGATGTCAATCAATGAATCAATTAATGACAATGCTTATTTTTTTCCTGGTCATTGGATACAGACTCAATCACACAACATGTAACTTCCTAGGTCTCTATGGAGCATTCTTAGTTATGCGTGTAATTCAGCACTACCGACTTCATTCTGAATCATTCACCTCCTGCCAGGTACTCAATTTTACTACTAGGTAAAGAGAGGCAAATGTAGATAAAGTGTCTTGCCCAAGGACACAAGCAGTGTGATGAGTGGCAGTCTCAAGTCTACACCTCTCAACCATCAGTCCTTAATCGCTGCACCACATAGCATCAAATTGTTGGCATATCTAGGAATCTTGATACGGGATGGCTGATGGGGAAGGTGTAAAGATAGAGAGGGGGATCGATGATTAAGTGAAAGGGTGCTAGGTCGCAAAAAAAGGAGATATGAGGTGATGTTTAACTACTTGAGCGTTATTTTTTTGCTTCAGTCATTTTCAATGGAGGTAGAGGAGGCGCAACTGGGGGTAAACCTTTTATTGGGGCCTGTCCAACATACCCCCCCACATACGCCTCTACTTCCAATAATATCATACTTTAATGTAGTAATTAAAACACACCTGCATATATATACCGGCTAATAGAACAGCATCTCCATCTGAGCAAGGGTACATTGCCTTGAGGACATTCAACAAACATTCATCAAATAGCATCTTTATTGCTTGTGGATCCTTTATCTGTCACCAAAATACAAAAATATATAAAGGTATAATAACTATCTTTATTGCATATAAACATAAATCAAGTTAATAAAGACTACTATTATATGTATTAATTCAATTACAGGTTTAAATTGAAGACCACTCCAATTAAAGACCAATTTTGAAACTGAGGTTTCATGGCCATTAGCAGCTTTGGTCTCTAATTAGAATTATAAAGATAAAATACATTTGTTAATAATATGGGACCACCGGGAAGTGGTCTTTAATTGGAGGTGGTAATTAATTGAATGGTCTTTAATTAGAGCAACACCTGTATCTGGTATACAAGTGCGTAAAAAATATGGAGTCCCATTCCTATCTTTCCTGTTATACTCGTCACACTTGATTGATTCGGATCATTAGTACATTGATCGAGTTCCTAGTCCACATATCAAGCGCCCTGAGCATCTTACATTAGATGGATATGTGCGCTATATAAAACTACACTATTATTATTATTATTATTATTATTATTAGGATGTACCATGGGTTTGGAGCTGCATTCTACCTTACAAATGAATCTGGCTCAAAAGAAGTATTAAGTCAGACAGATCCAATTGTCCCTAAGAAATGCCACACTTACACTTTATTAGTTGGAAATCACCTTACGATTTACTGAAATGGGACTGACTTGAGGCAGCCCTCATCAGTGTAAACAGGGCCTAACACATACACTCGTCAATGACCTGCTGATTACAAGCATTTAATATCTGAATCTTACCAATCTTTCATCATTGAGGGATAGGAGGGCATCGCGTCGTAGGTAGAGTACTGGTCGTTCTGTTTCTGGGTTGTAATTGGTAAGCTGTCTAACGATTGCATCCCACTGCCTGATGTGAAGGATTGGCTTATGCTCTGGCCTCATCTGGAGATCTGTAAATATATTAATTAAAAATATAATGACATCCATAACATAATAATATGAGGAGAATGATGATAATAATGATGATGGTGATGATAATAATTATCAGGATGATGAGGAAAATGTTGGGGATAATGATGAGTATAAAAATGATGATAATAAGGAGGATGATGAAAAAGATGACAAGGAGTATAATGATATTGATGGTGATAATAACATTCCAACAAGAAAAATATTCTTTTATTCAGTAATTCATAATTATAATATTTAAGTTAAAGAAAAGTATTGTCTATACGTGTAATCATGTAACCCAGGTAACTTACGCAGACTCTGTGAAGCAATCCAAATAGCAAACACATGGTGGCATCCTTTAGGTAGTTCCAATTGCTGTTGTGTAAACAATATATAGTAAATAATATACAACAATGCATGTTCACATTTATTAGCCTAACACAAACTTAAAACAAAAGTAGAGCTTTAGTCAGAACATTTTTCGGGAATGAAGACAGATTAAACCAATGGGTTTATGGGCAACATTTTAACCACCAATCTAAATGTCCAATATATAATATAATATAATATTGTGAGAAAAAGAAAACAATATTTGATCAACAGTATTAACTTTGTCTACTCAACTAAGTTATTAAAAAAATAAAATGTAACCACTGTATAAATAAACAATGCATATTCATAGACAAATACTTTGGCCAGTAGACATTTTTAAAATTATTTAGTTGAAAGTGTATAAATTGGCAGAAAAACTGTTCTAAGTGTTTTGATCTGCATATAATTTGAAGTTGATAACATATTTGATCTTTTTAAATACTGCAAACCAATGATTTAATTGAATTTCAGATGGTTTTAAAACCAACAACTTTAATGACATGCCATCTGTAACTTACTTTGAGCAGCTGGGAAACGGTTGTGTTGCTACCAGCTACAACGTCTAGCACCACATGTGAGCCATCCAGATCCATCAGATGAACATCCACTTTAGTAGGCTGTAAGTTTGAAAACCAGAACAGCAAAATCATTAAAAGAGAATCTTGCACACCCCCTCTATATATATATAGGTGAAAATACTTTAAGGTAAATTTTTATAAGCTATTTAGTTTTAAATAATATGGAATGCAATATTGTTAGATATTATTTCAGCAGGCGCATGTTTTAATGATAAGTGTAAAAAAACTAGCCTAGATTTCATTAATTCATTTTTATGCTTTATGTGCCTCATGGCACGAAGAGAATAGGTGAGATTTCAATGCGGTGTACAAGATGGTGATACAACACAAGTTGTTTTGACCTTTTGCACACGAACCGGAAAAAGGTCAAGTGAACCGTGCACTAATGAAAAATTAGTGTACGTCAGTTTGGTATAGTAAATAACACTGAGATTTACAGTGATGATGTCACAATTGACTTATAATATGTATTACTGATTCTTTGATATAAATGTTCTGGATCTGACATCAAGATTTTGCTGTAATAATTTCTTACCGGTTTTCTCATGGCTTCCTTCAATATTTTTATTGATCCTTCCCAATCGTTATCCTTCCTTTCTTCACATTGCATTAGTGCTGTCCTGTCTTCTTTATCCATGACAGTCTGTTAAAAATTAAATCGAAACTATTATACAGTCTATATTAAAATTGTTAAAATTATAATCCAATTTCATAAGAAGCACTGAGTGTTATGCTCACCTAATTAAAAAAAAATTGGTAAAAACAAGAGATCTTTCTGGAATGTCAATCAAAATCAACAACTGACCAATCAGAATCCTATGTTTACATTGTCCTTTTGTGGGACCTTAGCAATAACATTCCAGGGGTGGAGCTTGGTGGAACCCTCCACTGGCATAGCAGTTTAAACTCTCAACACAGAGGTCAGTGTTTCAAATTCAATGCCAAACATTTTTATGGTACTTTATGATTATTTGTCCAACCAAGTGTACAAGTGGGTACTTGGTATGATGTTATTGCTGTATTGAAACTATCAGGTACATGATGCTTATTCATGCATGACTAAACAGCATGGGGTACAGGAAGTTGCATACTAATAATAATAATGGTCGACTTATATAGTTGACCAGTGAAATAAGGGCAGTGCTCTATGGTAAATTTTTGACTATTTTATTTTATAATTCAATCATTGTATACTGTGGTTGCCAATAAAGATATTTGATATTTGATATTTAGTATTATTACCCCCAGTCATTGGATTAAGCACATATGGAACACATACTCAGATCCCTGGGGTGAATTCCATAATGTTGCAGCTGCAATCTACGCATTTTGTGTTTAAACCTACCAGGCAGCCACTTGTACTCCTGGGTGGATAGAGACAACCACAGGTAAAGTGCCTTGCCTGAGCGATTGAAACTCCAACCTCAAGGTTCAGAAGCAGAACTGCAAACACTGCCCCCAAACCACTCCATATTGTGCATGATGGTTTGCTGTTTTCTATGATCAGGATTTAAGCGCTAAAAAATAATTAATAATTTAGTTGACATACCAGATCAATATCTCGATGAGCAACGAGAACCTTCAGAATATCAGTGAAGCCCCTTTGAGCGGCGAAGTGTAAAGGTGTTGATCCGTCTTCATTTCTAGGGGATAAAAAGGAGAGAAAATCGAAACAACGTCATTGTCATGTAAGGGAGGAATTCCTTCTATTTATCAAAGCACTATGATGCATATAGATCTTAAGCCGAGCATTCACTGTGCTCGACGGTCATCGATGCGATTCTATGAAGAATGCAATGCCACAAGCTGTTAGTGCCTATCCGCACAGACTGCCACTGACATTCGCTCATATGAAGCGGAGTTGAAATTGTAGTACGACTATTGTACAATAGAGTGAGTACCAAGCTTTTGAATTAAAAATACAAGACTAGCACATCATTACAGTACTGTCATTAAAATGATTATTATTATTACTATTAATTACAGGTCTCCCTCCAATTAATGACCACTTGAGAGAGCAGCTTAGCTCATTCGGCTAATCTGGTGGTAGCCACTGTGTGTGCGCTGAACCGTGGAGATCTTTAAGTCCCTGGTTCAATTCCCATCGCTGCCTCTCCTTGTATTTTAGCTGGAGGGCTGAAATACAAGTTATAATAGTGCACCGTCTTTAGGATGAGACGTTTAAGCCATTGGTCCTGTGTGCATTGATGGCCCATGTGCACGTTAAAGAACGCAGTACACTCTTCGGAAAAGAGTAGGGGATTGTCTCCCGGTATACTGCCCAATCACCACCAGAAGGACCCCACTGGAAGTAAGGCTTCTTCTAGACTTTCGTGGGCTATCCTTGGTGTTTACACCGAATAAATCCAATCCAATTTTGGGACAGGATTTCCCATGATTTGGGTATTGTAGATTTGGTCTCTAATTAGAATATAAGATAATAGACATTTGTAAATATGGGACCACAGAAAAGTGGTCTTTAATTTGGAGAGCAGTCCTTAATAATCATAGAATAATCGTTGTAATTATTTTCAACATTCACTCACTCTATGTTAGGTGATGCCTTTCCAAAATGCAAAAGAGCTTTCACAGCCTCGGTCTTGCCGTTATAAGCGGCGTAATGGATGGGTGCCCAGGTCTGTTGGTTAGGCTGGTCCGCATAGTAGCCCATTGACAGGATCTGTTTAATAGCTTCAACATTTCCCTCAAATGCAGCACTGTGTAAGGGGTATTCATCTACCATGCTAGATAAAAGTTAGAAAAACACAATTTATTATAAACTTACTTAAAATGATCATGATTCACTTGCACCCATGTCTTGTAAGTAGTTTGGCGCTGTCTCTTATACACATCTAGATGTGTATAAGAGACAGTTAGAAATTTAAAATCATAGAATAATCGTTGTAATTATTTTCAACATTCACTCACTCAATGTTAGGTGATGCCTTTCCAAAATGCAAAAGAGCTTTCACAGCCTCGGTCTTGCCGTTATAAGCGGCGTAATGGATGGGTGCCCAGGTCTGTTGGTTAGGCTGGTCCGCATAGTAGCCCATTGACAGGATCTGTTTAATAGCTTCAACATTTCCCTCAAATGCAGCACTGTGTAAGGGGTATTCATCTACCATGCTAGATAAAAGTTAGAAAAACACAATTTATTATAAACTTACTTAAAATGATCATGATTCACTTGCACCCATGTCTTGTAAGTAGTTTGGCGCGGCAGGGGGAGGGTTAGTTTCCCAACCTTGGGGTCGGGGTTTTAATCCCTTGCTGTGCATTTTGCTTGTGTCCTTGAGCAAAGCACTTTAATTATATTACTTCTCTCCACCCAGGAGTACCTGGTGGGGTTACCTACTCCTGCTCTGATGAAAGCAGAAACTCTTAAGCATGCGCAACCAACGACCAGGGAGCAGAAGCGCTTTGTATCTGCAAAGAAAGGCGCTTTATAAATAACCAAATAATTAAATAAAAAATCGCTTTTTATAAAGTGTTGGAAATTGGCTTATTATATTACTTGTGAAAAAAATACATTTATCAGAGACAATATGAATTATACTGTAATAAAAATAATAATAATAATAAAATGACAACAATAACCATGAAACAACAAAATAATATATCAGTCTGGATGATATGATAATGGAAGTTTATAACCACCAATAGGATGCTTTGCCTTAAAACATCATAATATATTAATATTCAATTTTTTAAAATGTCCTTGAATGAAATTTATGTTTTTAGTGTTCTTTTATAAAAAGCAGACTTCACACATACAGAAAGATAAAACTTACTTTGAATTTGCGTGTCGGGATGAAATGTCGGATCTATCCATCTTGGGAGTTCTGATGGCATTGTAGTCAGGGACTCCCATACCAAAGAATGGATTTAATACAACACTATCCACACTTATAAAATCATTTACCCTCTGTCAATAAAGAAAATCATTGATATTAATATTCAAAAATTCAGAAATAAATCAGATATTGATGAAGTAGAGTATGAAAAGATACACAATTTTTATTTTTTATCAGATACAGTACTGTATATCTAATACAAGATTTGTTGTCCACAAAAAACAAAAATCACTGTATGTCCAGTTTACTGAGGTGCTCTGGTGAAATAGTTCAAATACTTACAGTATAGTTAAGAAAATATGAAAACATTCCCTCATATCATACTATTCACCACTAGCCATAAATCCTTTACAGGTACTCTCCCATTGAATTGCACTTTAAACTTCACACTGTGAGCTTCACCAAGAAGAATATTTATTTAAGTACTGTACCTATGTACCTTTTTCATTACATAGCTGCCATGGTGGTGGCCAGGAGGACAGCAAAAACCCCTAGTGAGAACCCAATGCGGAGCCCTGGGTTAGGGTTTGGGGAGGTAAAGCAAAATAAGCTACAACATTTATGTATTCAGATGTTTAATTTAAATGTTTACTGAACATTATATATAGAGATTAGATCTTGTGAAAAATGCATTTTTGTCAAGCATGTAAAGGCATTAAAACTTCAATAATTGAATTCTGGTATCTTATTCTTAATAGTGAAAAAATTATATTCTTCTTATATTCAAGATATCAATAAACATCTTGATAGTGAACGTAAAATATAATTATGTATAGAAAGGATAGAAAAATACCGTGTCTTCAACAGGTAAGTCTGTCTCCAACTGGAAAAATTCATTTATCACTACATTATCAACATGGTCCAAGAATTCCATCTTTTTGAGTGCTTCAGAAGGAGAACAGGTGTTTCCTTGCGGAATCTTTGATACATATCCCGGATTTGTAACATTGTTCTGTAAACGTTCATGGGGTGACCGCTGCTTGTACCACACCCCGTGCATTTTTTCTGTAAAATAACAGCCGTTGAAATGACTAAGTTTTATGAAATTGAGTGTTGTTCTTTGCAAAGCTAGCTATGTTCCTGCAGTCACCTTCCTATTCAAAGAGCAGTAAAGAACGATGCAGACTTGTTCCTATAGCTGAAAGGCAGAATTAGTTTTCAACTTGGTTCTCCCTTATTTAAAATGCAATATAGGTTTGTGATCCTATATAAAACTAGTTTTCTGTACTTCTTTTCAAAAAGCAGCCTATAGTTTCCGATATTTGTATTCCTCTGCGAAACTTCCCCAGCAGGACTGTATGTCTTTGAATTGCAGACTGGCACACTTCTTCAGGCTTTCTTTTATCTGAATGTTTACAATCAAAACTGCAGCTCTACATAGCAGTGTTTGGCTACGGGCTAATGGCCTCTGTGGGTATACAATCTGTAGACAATGGTGGGTGTAGATGTTTTTGCACACACCATTTGACTCTGTTTAAACTATCGCTTGTATTGAAATTTGAAACATATGACTGAGCATTGGGCGTGTCCGATTTGCCAGCAGGAAACATAAATTAACTTCTACAGAGTGACACGTATAATCCTGGCAGTATCTGCAAAAAGAAAATCATAATTAATAGGCCTATATATTTAAAAACAAAACTAAATAATAATTTAATAATAATAATTTATAAACAATATTCTATTTTCCTATTTTAAACATTTTTGATGTTTTTCATGCATTATTACTTGTTTGCACTATATGTATAGTGCAAAAAGAAAATGACTCTAGGCCTATATATTCTAAACAAAAATAAAAAAATAATAATTTATAAACAATATTCTATTCTCCTATTTTCAACATTTTTGATGATTTTCATTCATTATTATAAAAATCAAAAAAATATTTTAATTCTTTAAAGGTTTTATTTATTTTTTTACCCTACTGTCAAGATAATACAGTACTAGTAATAATAATTAATAATATAATAATAATAATAATGATGATAATAATACTAAACAGCAATGCAGTAAAAACATGAAGATAGTGCATTTTAAGTTTACTTTACTTTCGCATCCAATAGCGTGTACAGTAACTCGCTAATTACAGGATAGCACTTGTGCTCTTTATTTATTATTGTTAAGACAATAATTACAATAATAACACTATCAAATACGAATGCTGTAAAACATGCAGATAATTTATTTCAACTTTAATTTACTAATTTTTCATCCAATAGCAAGTAACTCGATAACTGCAGGATGGGACGATGCTTTGTAAATTAACTCCCTTTATCGAGGCTTACGGGGTGGAGTTGTTTTTAGTCCTGCTGAATATATAAATTGAACCCAGGACCCTGGGATTAGAAGGCAAGCACCTTAACCACCAAGCAATACAGCTCCACTCCACTTTTGGGGAAAAAATTACTGCATTCGAAAAAAAAAAACTCCTCTATATTCTGTGTACCAAAGTAATATTTATGCACACGTATACAGTTGATATGTTGGTGTACACGTGTAGTATAATAGCACAAAAGAACAAAACAGATACTGTATATACAGTAAAGGGTGTTTCTAATACTACGCATCTTTGTGTTTTGTTTTCTGTTCACAGTTCGTAGGATACGCTCACCAAAGCATAACTGAACATCACTACTTTAATCCCTGCATAAAAAATAAATAAATAATAGTTCAGCTTTAGGAATACAAATGTCTCCAGGTTTTTATGTCTGCAAAATTATATTATAAATGGATAGAAATAAATCTATTGACTATTGTAGAGTATTGTAGATTTATATAGGTCTGATGGATACAATAGGTGAAGGTTGCTCACCTTTTAGAAGCAGGTACACAAAAAAGATTATGTCAATATTTGGTTCAACAGGTAGTGAAAGAGCAATAGCAATTTCTAATGCTACAGGGGTAATGTCATTTGTTAACAACTCAATGCCTGTGCATAAAAGATTAACTATACCAGGAGCATGCACTAAACAAGAAAAGTAAAATAGAAAATTTACAATGTATAAAACACACCCTTTCTCAAGGTACATCAGCCATAAAGTTGCCTAGATTTTTATTTTCATGTAACAATAATGTAGAGACCTACTGTGAAACCTAACTAGCAATATTAAAGGAAGATGAACATGTCGGAAGGCAGGTAACTCACTGAAGAATTGCAGTACAACTACAGTAGTATAGGCAAGATGTTTTCTAACTTTTAAGAAAATTTTTAATAAGCTTGATTTTACAAAGTGATATGATACTTACTGAATAAATGATAGAGATGTGTTTATCATGATAGTAAAGTAAGTATGCAAACCTCAAAAAAACTAGTACCAACTTATCTACCAATTTTTAGTTAACTGAGAGGCAAATCCTGTGTGTTTTGGGGAAGATTTACATAACTCTAGTCTTTATAACACACTAAATAGTCACCACGTCAATGGTTGCCGGATGTCTGTAACTATAGTGAGGTCACGAAAGGAGCGTTCACGCTGGGCCCTGTTCCTACCAATCCTTTCAGCACTAGACACAAGAATCTTCATGTTGAGTTTTTAGACCTAAATCGACAAGGTTCTACCAAGTATGAACTTGTGAATAAGACACGATAAGAAGTTTGTAAGTAGATGGTTGCAACTACTGTACCAGCAGTACCAGTCTTGCCAATGGTTTTACAAAAGGATTATGAATTATTGGTTTTCTGAATACAATTAATTATATAAAAATATAAAATGGGTCATTTATTTTTAGAGAATACATCGTCGGTAAGTAGACAGTTGGTACGTGACTATCGGCAGAGCGCGATATCATGGCACCGCTATCATTTCTGCCAGCAACTAGACTGTCTGCACAGCCCTCTACTGTTTTGGCTGTAGAAGTCGTATTTATTTTTTCCATATGACCTGAAAATTCTGGTGACGTAGTCCACATTTCCCTCTTTTGACCTCATCATCAAACCAAATTTTTCCAACTTCCCGAAGTGAGTGAATTTATTGCCGAAAGTTTTAGTTGCCAAAAAAAGCAATTATTTCTGAGAAGATAAGTTTATATTCCTGAAACCAGTTCATTTTGATAATTGATATATTTATCCACAACTGGGTATAATATTTAGTTAATTTGACCACTGAAACCTAGTTTTTGACTGAAAATAAAAACGTCTTGTGAATGGAATTCCCCAAATCTATCTGTGCGGTGCAGGCTGACATACACTTTTTTTTTTTATAAGAACACATTTTATAAGAACACTGAGGCTGAAATTGTTTAAAAATTAAGAACAAATTTGGAATAAATTGAGGCTGAGGTAAAATGGTAAAATGAGGTTTTTGAAAAAAAAAATTTTATATCTGTACCTTATGTGCAATAATAGGTGTGACTAAGTAATACCCCCTATACTCAGGTGTACTGTCATTTGGGCCATTTTTACCAGGCCTTTTTTCTGGGGCAATTTTTCCAGGGCATTTTTTCAGGGCTCATTTTTGCTGTACAATAATAATTTTCTATGTTTGAAAAGTGTGTAAAATAAGAACAAATTAAGAACATTTTGAGCTTGAAATCGGCCAAAAAATAAGAACACTGAGCCTGGGCAAAATTTTACTGGTTCTTATAAAAAAAAAGAAGTGTAATGCATGTCTGGTCTTACTGCAATCACATATCGTGACACACATGTACCCAGTCATGATATTATGTTTTGTTGTGTTAATTGAATCCAAGTTTATATATTGCTTTGAAAGCAATTTAATTGTGTTAATTGATATATTTATTCATATCTAGTTTTGGTATTATGTTAAGTTGAGAACCAAAATCTTCTATTTGAGTCTCTTTGAACATAATGTCTTTATACATTGAGGTATAAATGTCTATATAAAATGGTAATTCATTGATTAAATTATTATTTAATAAATGATTGAAGTTTAATTGTCCTTGTTGTATGCTTTCAAATGCTTTTTATTTTATTGAAATGTCTAAAAACAAAGACGTTAAAGCAGTTTTTGATCATTTTTCAAGAAAAAGGTCACATACTTTTCTATTGACTTGTTTACATTGGTTTTGAAGGACCGAAATTAGGCATAATTAATAATTATTTAAATTTTGTAAATGATCTTGGTATCAATGTAATGCTAAATTAACGCTCTTCAAATGTTACTACTGGGTAGTACTAAAGTGCGAGGCAGCGAGGCAAAACAATGATTCATGCGAGGCATCGTTTTACCATTCCCAAAAGTGCGAGGCATAACAACGATTCATGCAAGGCATCGTTTTACATCGAAATATGTGCAGAGAACAACAAAAATCCGATGTAAAAGTAATATTACGTACTATTTAATAATTATGCTTGATAGTCATTGTCAAATTTGCTACTTAATTTGATTTGCTACCACAGTGGACCAGGGCCGGCGGAACGTTTTTCAAAGTGGGGGGGGGGGCCACTTATAAGCAGGCAAGTAACAGGCTGTCCCTGGGGGCGGAAAAGGTAATAATTTTCCCGGTTAGTAATTTATGACTTGGTGTTTTCCATATAGAAAACAATACGACATAGGGCTTATTTTATTATTAATATAGGCCACACACGTGTGTTTCAAACTAAATATAAGCATTTTCATGTGGTTTTATTTATTACAATCATAGGCCTATTCTTTCACCATCATTAAACATTGAGGACCTTCTTTTAGGTAAAACGATCTATCTTAAATTTTCATTCTCAAGTTATTATGTTTTTAAGTAACTTAGAAGGCAAAGAAGGGCAAGCACAAGCTTTAACCCTAACAAATGCAAAAAAAATTGTTTTTTTTAATTCTAATGTCATCGGAATTGATCAAAACTCCCTAAATGTGCAATTTTTAGAGGAAATTGGTCTACCTCAACAAGAAATGCTCTTATGTTATATATGGCCACACTCGTTTTTTTAAACTGAATGTAAGCATTTTCCTTATGGCTTTATTTATTACAAACATATTCTATCAATATCATTACACATTGAGGCCCTTCTTTTAGGTAAAACGTTCTATCTTAAATTTTCTTTCTTGAGTTTTGGACTATGTGTTATAACTCAGAAGGCAAAGGAGAGCAAGCACAAGCTTTAATAATAAAAAATGCGCGCGAAGCGCGCGAAAAATTTTTGTTTTTTTAATTCTAATTTTGTCGGAATTGATCAAAACTCCCTAAAATGTGCAATTTTTAGAAGAAATTGGCCTACCTCAACAAAATATGCGATTTAAAATTTGAGATTTTTAGGCACTTTCCCGGGTGAAAAGGGCATTCAATGGGGAAAGATTTTCCACAGATGGATATTTTCCCCTTGTCTCCCGGTGCTTACTCCACTGCGGAGAATACCTGGCGGCTTAGATCAAATGCGCTATGGACACTTTTTGAAGTGGAGAAGGGGTTGCACGCCTGGGTATTGTGATATCTGTTCATTATATCTTCCTTTTTATTCTTGTCTTTATTTTTATCTTTCCTTTTTCTTTTCCCTTTCTTTTCTTTCCCCTTCTTTCTCTTTCCCTCCCTCCCTTTCTTTTCTCTTTTTACCCAGTCCGGTACGACGGCTTGGTCAGCCCGGTAAAAACCGTCAGGGGGGACATTCTGCCCCCTGCCCCCCTCACCTTTTACGCCACTGCTTATAAGATGAATGGGAATATGAATCATGCAGATCTGGAATCAAATCTAGGTGGTGGGGTCAACATTCCTCCCCCGGGAAAATTTTGATTTCTAGATGGCGGGAAATGACCTTTCTCGACTTTCGAGCTAGGTGTCTAATGACCTTGTTCTTCAAAGTTCAAGGTTTTCCCCCTCATGAAAACGGTAAAGTAAATTTTCTCATTACAGTAATAAGGCCTGTTATGTGTGTATACATACATTTAACAAAAATTGAGTAGTTGCATACGATTTTTTCCATGAGATGAATCCCAAAAAGAAAGGAGGGTCCGGGGGTTCTTCCCCAGGACAATTTTGATTCCTAGAAGGCAGGAAATGAGCTTTCCCGAATTCTGAGTTGTCTTTTAAATTAAAGTAATTAAAAAATACATCAAAAGTCGGGAAATCTCATTGTCCACCATTTAGAAATCAACATTTTCCAGGGAAGAACTTGAACCTCCCTTTCTCTGGGTTCATTGATTCATTATAATAATTTTCAAGAGGGGAACACCTTGAATTTTGAAGAACTTAAAAGTAATTAAGT